AACTCCTACTTTCAAGCACAAGTTAAACTTACTGAGAGCAGGTTGTTCATTTTACATTATTTTGTTCTACATCATCATTTAATTTTTTTCATAGAATAATGTATTCGATGTGCAAGGAATAAATTCATTTTTATCTTGTCTTTTATCTATTGATGAAAGGTATTTATTGACGACCCGAAGGATGATCTAGTCACGACTTAGGTTTTCATTGGTTGGACGGTGAATAATCTCGTAAGCTCGTCTCGATGGGCAAAAGTGGAATGTGGTCCAAGTCCCTTTTCTCAATGACGCATACCACATTCACCCCAACGGTTAATTTATATCCTATGTCAAAATTGGTCCAGATATTTGTTTTTCTGTCCGACCTTGCAAAACTTGCCTTCGCCAAAGAAAAAGTCTTCATACCGTAAAAATGCAGTCGTACAGGTTTAAAATTATATACCAAAATAATTATGTGCGTAACTGAATCGCACGGTAACATACACAATTTTTCTGATCATAAACTCACACAATGTAGACAAAAACGTGCACAACGTAAACAAAGAAACATATAAGACAAAAAACACACTACAAGAAAAAACATACGCAGCACAAAAAAGTCGCAACACAAACAAAACACATACACATATACATCTACGCATAAGACACAAACACACACAACAAATTCACCTACTGTTTCTTCTTTTTTCACTCTCTCTCTCTCTCTCACTCTCTCTCTCTCTCTCTCTTTCTTTCTTTCTTTCTTTCTTTCTTTCTTTCTTTCTTTCTTTCTTTCTCTTTCTCATTCTCATTCTCATTCACGACCTAAATTTGTAAGATTTTTAAAATAAAACGATATTCATTCGTAGGTTCCTCTGTCCAGTCAAGTCTATCAAAATAATTATTGTTAATGTTTTTCTTTTGATTGATATTTATTGTTAATAACACAGATAAATACATATATAACTCTATAGTTAAATGGCGTTATGAAGTTAAATCTCCCCCTGACAAACTTTTTTCTTTTTCAATGTTTTCCTATCTCCCCCTCACTCTTATGTCACTTTTTTCTTTCCCATCAAACTTTTCTCTTTCTCCTTCTCGCTCTATCTCACTGTTTTTAAACCTCAACCTTCTTTCTCAACCTTTCTCTATCTCCCTCTCATTCTATGACATTTTTTTCTTTCCTCTCGACCTTTCAGTCTTTCTCAGTTTGCCTTTATCACTCTTTTACTATTTCACCTTCCTCTTAGCCGCCCACTCCCTCTATATCACGTTTCCTCAACCTTTCTCTATCTCCATCTCACTATCACACTTCCCCCCCGAAACGTCTCTCTTTCTCACAATCGCTGTAACACTTTTTACCCTTCCACCTTTCTCTTGGTCAACCATTCCCTCTATCTCACTACTTCTACTCTTTTAAGCCTTGTCCCGCTCCTTCTATTTTTCTATTTTTTCGCTCAACCTATCTTTCTCTCTTTCTTTTTTCTCTCTCCCCCTCGCACTGGATCTTATCTTTTTTCTTTTCCCTCACCTTTCTCTCGCACCCTCACACTTTTTTCTTTTCAGCCTTTCTCTCTCTCTCTCTCTCCCTTTCGATGTATCGCTTTTTCTCCTCAACTTTTCTTTCTCGCACCATTTCTTACTTACTACTTATATATATATTTTTCACTTTTTTTTAATCAATTTTGCTTTTATGTTTATTCACAATTTTGCTTGTCTATTAATTGTAGTTTTCCATAATTATTCTGATGGTTTATTTTGTATTTATTTATTGTTGTAAAACAGAACTCGTTTATTGTAAGAAAGGACAGTATTTTCTGACTGATTGTAAAAGGAGTCCTTCGCGACCAAAATTCACGGGATTTTTTAAGTAAAATTATATTATGTAAAAAATTATATAGTAAAATGATATTCTCTCTCTCCCACCTTCTCTCTCTCTCTCTCTCTCTCTCTCTCTCTATCTATCTATCTATCTATCTATCTATCTATCTATCTATCTATCTATCTATCTATCTATCTATTTATCTATCTATCTATCTATCTCTATCTATCTATCACTATCTATCTATATATATATCATTATCTTTTTCCCTTAGGGGTCATTATTTCTTTCCTACTCTCCTTTTCTCTTCGTCTCTCTCTCTCTCTCTCTCTCTCTCTCTCTCTCTTTCTATCTATCTATCACTATCTGTCTATATCTATCACTATGTTTCTATCTTTACCTTAGGGGTCATTCTTTCTTCTCTCCTCTCCTTTTCCCTTTGTCTCTCTCTCTCTATCTCTCTATCTGTCTATCTATCTATCTCTATCTATCTATCTTTCTCTATCTATCACTATCTTTATATCCTTGCCTTAGGGGTCATTATTTCTTTCCTACTCTCCTTTTCTCTTCGTCTCTCTCTCTCTCTCTCTCTCTCTCTCTCTTTCT